GCAGGTACTACTACAACAAGAGAATCCTCCACAAGACCAAAGGCAAGAGGTTCACCTACAAGTTCAACTTCAACAAACTGGTGCTGGTCAACTACCCCTTCATCGACATGGGCTCAGGTATGCGCACACGTGCGCGCACATACACGTCACATTTTCGTTGATTGAAATTTGGATTTGTCGCCGCTGTCGGCCGTTCACATCCAAGTTTTGTTCTCGGGCTATTCTCATATTGTTCCGTCGGAACGAGCTGTTGCCCCATGTCAAATATCAATTTGCTCAATAAATGGACGAAAACTCTGCTCCAGTGCTAATTAGCAGCGCGGCTAACATGTCAGGTGGCAAAGCACTTGGAAAGCCACCGAATCCGACACGATTGACGTGATCCTTTTCACAATCAAATAAATCATGTCGTGATGTGCGTGATGTCATCATGACAACCTCACCCACACACACACACACACACACACCATCCTTCCCTCCCCCTACCCCACCTCAAGTGGTTTCTCTGTGTTCTGTTCCAGTGTAAACAGGGCCCATATGGAGCTGACTTAAGTGCGGCACGATACTTTAATTGGTGTGTGTGATGTGGCCCACGCGTGTTGGGATGTTGCATGCACACACACGTGCCCACGTCAGTCTGCGCTGATTGTTGCACACACACACACACACACACACACACACACACACACACGTGGCAGTCCGGTGGGGGAAGGAGAGGAGCCCAGCCCATGTTTGTAATGGCAGCGAGAGCAACTTTTCCAGTATTTAATTCTGGCACGTTCACCCAGGCCAGAAATTTATTACCGTGCCACAGTTTTGCTGGAAGGAACACCAGAGTTTGGGGGGGTGGGGGGATCAAGGGGAGTTGGGTCTGAAAGAAGGGGCACCCATCTTGAACCCATTTTCTCCAACAAGTAGGTGGGGGCAAATCATTAGGAATTAATGCTTTGTGTTGTTTGCAGTGAAGCCCGGTAGTTTATTGGGAGGGTGGGGGGCATGCTCCACCGGTGGAAGTTGATTGTAAAACTGATACAAAACAAAAAGAGAATCGCACATCGTGTGTTTTAAACACAAAAATATTCAACCCATGTAATTTTGTCGACCAAAACGGCTCTCTTAATGTTGAGATATCATGTGAAATGCCATAGGGAGGCGAACGCAAATTCGTAAAGATGCTTTGGTCATTGTAATCCTTCAACCGACTGCGACCTGAACGCCACAAGTACGGCGAAAAATAGAATTGAACATTGTACGTTGGAGCCAAACGATACCATACGTTACTCACACAAATTTTTCAGTCTCTGTAACAAACAAAACAAAACAAATCTATTATTTCTGTGGAGATTCTCTTCAGTTAATGCTAGGCAAAAATGTTTTTCGGAGATACCCCAGAAGGATAAGAAACACTAAATTAAAATGTGTTCAACAATTGTTATTTTCATGTGCTTTTTCATAAGTGAAGAGGGGGGAAAAAAATTAATAGCGGAAGCTGGATTCTTGTAAAAAGAAATTGTTGAAAGGCCGGATCACAGAGACGCCCCCCCTCCCCGCCCCCCACATGATTTTAGTGCTTATAGCTTCCAGCAAACATTCCCGGCCTTGGCGTCAGACACACTGATGCGTTGCTTGTGGTATTATTTGTCTTTGCTCGCCCACAAATTCCCAAACAAGTAACGTTTTGTATATGCGGCCAAAACCTCACATGGGTTGTTCTTAATGATTTTTTTAAATTTTATTTTTTATGATCTGTTCCAGCAAAGGATTAGAAGCACAGCAGCAGTGAATCAATGTGGAAGGATGGTGTTCATCCACAGCGCCAAATAGTCCCACTTTGCTCATTGTCATGTCTGATTTGCCTGCCCCGCCCCCCTCTTTTTAGGTCGCGGCGTCCCGCAGAGCGCCCCTCCGGTGCCAAGTGGGGGCACCCACTTCCGTTTCCCCCCTTCCACGCCATCGGATGTATTGTCGTCAAGCGAGGAGCTTCGCAGTCCGGGCGTGTTCAGCAGCGTGGCGCGGCGCATGGCCCGCGGTTCCGTCAGCGACTGCAGCGACGGCACCTCCACCAACTCGGAGCTGGAGGAGGCGGTGGGGTCGGAGGAGCGAGGCGTGGGGCCGGAGAGGGCCTTCCGGGGTCTCCTCCCACCCCGCCTGCCTCACGAGTCTCTCTTCAGGCTCTACGGCCCCAACCCGGCGGGGCTCGCCAGACCTCACAGGGTCCACCCGGAGCCGCTATCTCCCTTCCCCGTGTCCCCCCTGCCGGGCCCCGGCGGGCTGCTGGGGCCGACTCTGTCCCCGGCCCTCTCCATGACCCCCACCCCACACCTGCCTTACACCCCCTCTCCGTCCCTCCCGTCCCCCATGATGGGCTCCCACTTCTCCTTCAACCCGGAGGACATGAAGCACTACCTTCAGGCCCACACACAATCTGTCTACAACTACCACCTCAGCCCCCGCGCCTTCCTCCACTACCCCAACATCGTCATCCCGCAGCCCCACCGCCCCACCCCGGAGAAGCCGGCCCCCCACCACCTGCACGGCCCGCCCCTGCCGCTCTCTCATCCGCTGGGGGGCCAGCTAGGGGGCGGCGGGAGCGAAGAATCCTTCAAGTTCAAGCTGCAACCGCCCCCTCTCGGACGCAAACAAAGAGAAGCGGGAAGCTCGCTGGCAGCGGCGTCCTCCTCCTCTTCATCGGCGGCCGGACAGTCCTCCTTGTTCACGGCGACGCCCAAGATCAAGGTGAGACCTGGAACAGGAAGTCAATGACAAATGTTCAATCAAACCATTTCATTTCATCTAATGAAAATCCGGCTCGGTGGTCCAGTGGTTAGCGCGTTGACCTCACAGTGCAGAGGTCGTGCGTTCGATCCAGCCTCCAGCCTTCCTGTGTGGAGTTTGCATGTTTTCCCTGTGACTGCGTGGGTTTTCTGCGGGTATTCCGCTTTCCTCCCACATTCCAAAAACATGCATGGCCGGCTGATTGAACACTCCAAATTGTCCCTAGGTGTGAGTGCGGATGGTTGTTCGTCTCTGTGTGACCTGCGAGTGGCTGGCAACCGGTTCAGGGTGTCCCCCGCCTATTGCCCGAGGACGGCTGGGATAGGCTCCAGCACCCCCTGCAACCCTTGTGACGATAAAGCGGATCAGAAAATGGATGGCTAATGAAAATCTGTTCTCTTAATGCTAACTTGGAATGACAAATGCCAGGAACATGCTGACAAAAATGACCGTAGCTGCAACAGTCGCTCCTTTAACACACACGGAGCATCAACGCATACAAACACAGCATACAAATAATCACTCTACTGTCTACATGTCTGGTGAGACCATCAGCAGCCCATGTTGATAACCATGCAACACCCACCACATCCCTTTCAGGTGGAGCCCATATCAGACATCGAGTCCGAGGAGGAGGTGGAAGTGACCGACATCAGCGAGGAAGACGAGCTGAACCCTGAGGATGATGACATCTTCGCTCCTGTATCCTATCATCAGCTCCACAATCATTCCAAGGCCAGCGGCAGCCCCCCAGGCCCCCACCCGCAGCCGCCCCCTCACGCCGACGATGACGATCCACACCCGGACGATGAGGACGAGGAAGTTTTCAAGACTCCAGCCACTCCGCCTCTCAGCGCCGGGCACTCGGCGTTCCCGCTGCTCAGCCTGAAGACGGAGCCGGCGCCGGCGGCCCCCGTCAGCCCCGGTGGCACCCACTGCATCCCGCTCAAGCTGCGCTTCAAGCGGCGCTGGAGCGAGGACCAAAAGATGGAGGCGGATGGTGAGCGGGACGAGGCCGAGGACAAGAAGGTGAGAGCCGAGGGACGTGAGGAGGTGGAAGAGAGGGAGAGGCCAGTGGACAACGGGGGAGGACCGGGCCTGATTTTGGGCTTAATGATGCCCCCGCCGCCCACTCAGCGCAGGGGCAGCTCAGAGCTGCAGAGAGCCACCGCCCAGTTGTCCCTGGAGAACGCCAGCTGCTGAGACCCCGAGGCAACATGGGAATATAACACACACACACACACACACACACACACACACACACACACACACACACACAAAATGATTATAATTTTTTTTTTTGGTGGCCAGAACTTACACAAGCTCTGTTCAAAATGCTCATTTGTGGTCATGAAATAGGTATACCCTGCGCCCAAAATACAACTTGCGTGTTGAGTCAAGAGAGTAGTGCTGATTATTTTTCCGAAATTGACCCTTAAAATGGTCGCTTCTGACCAAAATGGCAGACTTCCTCTGTCTTTTCAGGCGTGGCTTCTTCTTTTGTTGTGGGTGTACTCATGATTGACCTGCCTGTACAGTGGTACCTCTACTTACGAAATTAATTGGTGGAAGAAATTTCTTCACGAGAGAAAGTCAAGACGCGTTTTCCATGTAAATGCCCTAATCCGTTCCAAGACCCCCCAAAATTTAGATATAAATGTTTCCTAAAGCATATAAATGCATCAAAATATGTTAAAATTAGATTGTTGCACAATAAATGAGTTGTGCATAATGTAAAAAACAAAGAATAGATTAAAGAATAAAAATGATGGTCATTTAACTTTTAACTGCGTCCTCATCGGGTTTTTTTTTGCCCTCTTTAGTCCATGTTCTCTTTCAGAAGTGGTTTTTGCCCTGTCGTTTCGTAAAGGACGTTTGCTTTTGTCGGCTTTTAACAATCCTTCGAAAATGTCCAAGGCAAAAATCAGCATAGTGAGCGATCGCCTGACTGGTGAACACCTTTTCTGGGGATTCACATTGACGTCAAACTATCGGAAGGCCTCATGGCCCAAGGGGCGAATGACAAGGACACTTCATAGACACATATCTATCTATCTACACACACAGACACACACGGTAGAGGTCCCTCTTAGCCAATGGGATGCCAGGAGGATGCTCGGTAATAGCCAATGACAAAGCAGCTATAAATTTGTTGCGTTCAGGAAACTCGGAGCTGCGAGTTGCAGCCCAGACTCGTATTTTTACCTTTCGTATCTTGAAAATTTCTCTCGTAACAAGAGGCAATATTTCCCTGTTGAGATGTTTTGTAACTAGAACATTTCGTGTGAAGAGACGTTTGTAAGTAGAGTTACCACTGTCTATCAAAATTCGCATTGATGAGTGGGCTTGGGGGCAGAAAATGTTAATTTGTGATAGCGCTCAGGGCACCTCGCTTTTTTCGAGAGGAGCTTACTAAACTGTCCAGAAATGATCTTAGCATTTTTGTCATTTATATTTTCGACACACATACCAAATTTTTGGCTGCACACGAGTGCGAGCTTCTTTGAAACCACAACTTAAAATGTTTTTTGTACAAAACCCGACTAGATTCTTCGGAAAATTGATTCCATTTACTGGGATTTGTTTTTCATCCTGCTGACTCACTGACTTTTGAAAAATTGGAAGAAAATATTTTTGAAGGAACGTTCATAGATTTGTTGCTTAACCTTGAAAAGTTGTCATGGTACCAAAATCCTACCTTTCACTATTTCTTGACCACAAAGCGGCATTTTGTTTGCATGTTGTATTGATCTTGCCGCCACTTTTTTTTGGGGGGGGGGGGGGTTATGTCTTTGGCGTTACACACTCCTTTGAGGACAACAAGTGCGGACTTTTCGTCTTCAAAGTCATAATGGTGGTAAAACACGAACAGTAAAACATCATTGGACTCTATGGATTCACCTTTTTTTTTGGCATGTGGCGAGCCCTCAGTTTTGTCGATTTGACAGAAGTGCCTCGCGGTGGTTTACAAGGTGGCTTCCAGACTGAAGAGGGATCCCTGGCGTCGTGGCCGCCGGGAACATTCCGGACTTTACGGAATCACTTCTTCCTGGACGGAGGTGGGGGGGGGCATTTGTACGCTTTCAGGAAGTGACCCAGAATTGCTGCCGGCCAGGTTGAGCTGCCGAGGCGGACATTTTGTCCCCTCTGCTTTCGAAGAAACTTGAGCGCTTTTGGAGCATTGGCAAATCCCATCGTCATTCCCGTCGTTTCCAAAGACTCCCGGCTTAGCGTGTTGCAGTGTTTTTGGGGCATTTAGCTTCTCCAAGCCAAAAAGCCGAACCTTTTCTTTTTTTTGGGGGGGGGAGCAACAAGCGCGGCTGACGGACGTCGTTTTTGGTTGAGCGCTGCTGCCATGAATGTCAAAAAGCAAAACTCAGGCAGAGAGCTTATTTTTCTTGACTTAAGAAATTATATTTCCAATTTAAAACTAAACAAGCGTGCCTTCTCAAAGCACCACCTACCAACTTGCCTTCTGTTTTTAACGTCAAACTACTCACATACTACATATATATTTTAGTCAAAAATAAATTCCAAATGTTATATTTCAGTATGGTCGTTTGATACAAATCGGGAAACTAAAATTTATTTTTAATGCTGAAGATATATGTGTACAGATAAATCCAGGATATATAAATATATATATTCTATGTAACTCCCAGTGTATTACCACGCCTTTGCCTTCTTTTGCCGCCATTAGAGTTTATATTTATATTGATGAATAAATATTAAGGAAACAGTTAGCGTCAGAACAATACATAGAAAACAGCGAGGACAAAGCTGGCGCCACAGTCTGATTGGCTGAGAAGGGGACTGTTGACCAACACACACACACACACAAACACACCAGCGTTAGATGACATCACAGACATTGCCATAGAAATGACACACGCCCTTTACACAAACACGCACAGGAAATGACATCACTAAACCTCAGCGCAGAGTGGAGAGAGCGGGACTTCCCATAGAATGACTCGCTCTGTGTGTACACGTGCAAAATGTGTGTATGTGTGTGTGGGAGCTATAATGTGTATGAGTTAGTGTGTAAGTGTTACGTGTGCCTCGTCTGCCCATGTGTTCCGTTTCCACAGTTCTAAACAGAAAGCCAGCTGCGGTCTTGCACATTTTTGTCATTTTAGCCAGAAAATGTGCTACTTTGACTCTTAAATTTGCAGGCCATATATATGAGAGGGAGAAAGTGATCTAGTGGTTAGCGCGTCGACCTCACAGTGCAGAGGTACCGGGTTCAATTCCATCTCCAGGGTGTGGAGTTTGCATGTTCTCCCCGGGCCTGCGTGGGTTTTCTCCGGGTATTCCGATTTCCTCCCACATTCCAAAAAACATGCATGGCAGGCTGATTGAACACTCTAAATCGTCCCTTAGTGTGTGAGTGTGATCGTGGATGGTTGTTCGTCTCTGTATGCCCTGCGATTGGCTGGCGACCGGTTCAGGGTGTCCCCCGCCTACTGCCCGAAGACGGCTGGGATAGGCTCCAGCACCTCCCGCGACCCTTGTGAGGATAAGCAGATCGGAAAATGGATGGATGGATGGATGGATATATATGAGAGAGAGAGCAGCATTTGACTCGACTTGTCTTTTCAAGAAAACATCACAGTAACCGTTACCCCGCCTTTCCCTGCACACATGCGTATTTTACTGTTACTATTGTAATGATATTGTATCATAATATTAACCAGCTTATTTTGTATGTACTCTTGCTCAGCCGCTGTTTTTTATTTTGTTTTTATTTTTATTTTATTACATGTATACATTTTTGGGGGTTCCAATTTGCACTCTTTCTTTCTAGTGGACCTTTTTGTTTTCGCTTTCTGACTTTTACTGTTTTTTAAACCACAAGTGTGTAACCCAGGAAACTGTTTTCTCTTTTTTTTTAGTACTGTTATTAATGCTATGTGTGTGTATAATTTTTCATATTTTGAGGATTCTGAAAGGAAAATGTGTTAAAAAAAGAAAAGAAAAAAAAGACCATTGTAATGTTTAACTGTTATTCCATGCGTAAGTGTCTTGTTAGCTGTCAATCAACATGATTGACTGCTTCGTGGAGGAGGTGGACGCAACCGCTCGGTGTTTCTCTTTCTATGTGTTCATCTTCGCGTGTAGTTAAAACAATAATCAGGGTTCATTAAAAAAAAGGTAAAAATTGATTTATTGTTTCCTGTGTTTGTTTCACGTTGGCGCCCCCAGCAGGTCTGTGGAGAGCGCAGGCTAATAAGATTAATGCGGCTAGCACTGTTAGCGTCGGCACGCTGAGCATAGCGGCTAATGCAAAGCATACAGTCGCTTTTGTTCAAACTTTGTAAAGTATATGTATTTATCAGCTGATGACAGATTAGCTCTTAAATTTGCAAATTGTAAGAAAATAGTACCAATATTGGCTAGTGGTGGTTGAAAGTTAGTAAGTTTTGAAATATGATAGCTTGTTTGTCGTTTCTTGCCCTGGCACACGGCAGCCATTTTGATGATGCGATGTTTTTGCTAGTGTGTGTACGTACGTCTTGTCCTGTGAAACAGACTTTATTACTTTGTGTTGCGGCACACTGGAATCTTTTGGCACTGATTGGAATTCTTTGTGTGAATGTTTTGAGGAGGATGACACCATGTCACACACTGTCCTCCTTCATCTGCCGGAGACGCAAAACACTTCATTTGATATCTTTTGCCGAAAGTCTTCGTGTGTTGGCGCCAAAATGGAGTTTCCCCCCCCGCGTCCTCAGGGTATGTTTAAAATGGTTTCTAAGTTGAGTTATTTAATTATTTAAAACGGTAGAAAAATTTACCTTCTGGTTTGTTTCTTGTGGTGTCACCCATTTGTTCATTATTTCAAGAACATTTAATTTTAGACCCCATCTTCAGTTATTCACTGAAAGACTGCTCACAGGTTTTGTTCTGAAACCAAAGGACTGTCTAGTATAAAGGTATGGCTTGTGCACCATTTGTAGCATCATGATGCCATGCCGAGCAACCACAGGATGTTAAAATAAGGTGAGCTTCATGTCGAGCTTTTTAGGTTACTGTGTGATCAGTACACGTTCGCTTCTGCTCTCCCACGCTAACTCTGGCTCCCCTTGGTGGCAGTATGCAGAATTGCAGCTCTTTACAGCCTACTTGAACGTTTTACATTAGTAAACTTAAATTAATACATTGACTTGATTTTGTAAATGTTTTCTAATCCACTGATCCTCACAAGGGTCGCGGGCATTTTGGAGCCTATCCCAGTTGTCTTCGGGCAATCCGGGGTGAGGGGGGGGGGGGTTACACTCTGAACTGGTTGCCAGACAATCGCAGGGCACACACAGATGAACAACCATTCGCGCTCACAACCACACCTAGAGACAATTTCGAGTACTCAATCAACCTACCATGCATGTTTTTGGAATGTAGGATGAAATCGGAGGAACGAGAGAAAACCCACGCAGGCACAGGGAGAACATCCAAACTCCACACAGGTAGGCCAGAGCCGGAATCGATCCCTGCACTGCTACTCTGTGAGGCGGATGTGCTAACCAGTCTCACACTGCATTTGACCTAATAGTTAAGGTAGGCATGAGGGATATTTGTGTTATTATACTTCAATAATTTGGTGGTGAAATGCTACAAATGCAAT